TGGACCAACCCCAAATTGGGGCAACTGCAACCGAAAAAAAGACGGACCATGGTCCGGTTCAGTTCAGTCCACTGGCTTTTTGCGGTCCTATGGACTGAACCTTTAAACACTATTTTCAGGTCAGCATTGGGTTTCATAAATACCTTTCAGGCTGAAGTGGAGCAAACACAATGCTGAGCAGGATGGAGTTGAAAGACAAGGACGGAAACGTGCCATGTCAACAGTATCCACTCAGTCTAGACAGGGATCACCCACGAAGAGAACCCACCATGGACTTTAGAATAAATTCACCTAGTTTTATTTCATGTAACAGACATTGTACAATGTAATCTACTTTATTGCAACTCGATGTGTGCAGAGATGATCCTAATTTCGACATTATCTAGCTAATTTGCCAAATGCAGACTTGACCCATTTGGGTTACTGATGCTACATGGTCAGGGGAGTGGGATATGTCAGGATCTTCTGCTTGGAGCCCCTTGGCCAACCCTCCCGATGTGAGTGATGGTTGGAGCTTGACAATGATGTTGTATAGCTCAGCCCAGGCTGTAGTTTTTGACCATTTGACCCCAGGAAAATCCACACTACTGTTTTCCATATAGCCTGCAACTATCCAAAACTTCAAATGGCATATTCATGTGGATCCTCATTCCTTCTTGTAGTAGGACCGGAAATTGAAAAAAAAAATCCACCTATAATGAAATATACCCCTAGAATAGGTTTTCTGCTCAGAATATGGTTCTACAGTATCTATTTTTAGCCTGACATGTTTCCATTTGTTTCCGGCATCAATTGTCTCTTATTTGGGTTGATTTGGGTGTTCCCTCCCATCAATATCGATGTGCGATATGATTTCCATTGATTCCAAACGTCAGATATGTTTCTGGCAACGTGGATATGTTCCTGGCCTTTCTATTTTTAACCTGTGTGCATGTCTCATCAAAATCGGCTTCTCTGCTCGAAATCTTGCCTTCCCCTGCCTTTCCTTCGGCTCCATCAATACTTATCGCTCCGTCCGCAGCTTTCTGGTACTTGTTCACCCTGCATATGTTATGTTTTTTGACATTCATATGTTCATATTTTCTTTTCACTTTGTTTTGGTTATCGTGCGTGCGTGTCTAGACCTCGTTTGTTTATCGTGCGTGCGTGTTTTGTTTTTCGTATGTTCGTATTTTATTTCTCTTATACTCACACAATGTAATCATCAATGTATACGCGTACGCAATCCGTTCTTTCTTTGAGAAATGAATACAACCGCTTGTTGAACTCCAAACTGCCAAGTTGAACATTTGTCATGTGACTACATGTTGAACGCGTTGGCGTCGCTATGTTGAACGCGTCGCGTCGTTATGCACAAGATATATCATTTTACTAAGTACGGCTGTACCATACCGTCAATTACAAAATAAGACTGAGCTATCGGCAATAATCTACAAGATAATAAAAGAGGCACTTTGAGCCAACACCGATTTGAGTTGAGCCTTAGCGCTTGTGCTTTTTCGCAGTCATCGTCTGCTTGGTTGACTTGGCAGTTGAGGTGACTTGGGGAGCAAGTGTCGCTCTGCGGTTTAATGAGAACGAAGTTATCCAGGCATAAAAGTCTGGACACTTACTTCCAACCCAGAACCTGGGACAAGACCCACTGCACATCCTCCACAGCAGCTATCCAACCTGGGTCATTGACCCCCTCTTTCCCCTTGTCCAGGAGACCGGAATTCCACCAGACGAGGGTCGCGAGCATGGTCAGAAACACGTTCTGGCCATGTTTGTCCATTACTGACCACCCCTCATCTCCTGTGAGGACAGTACGATGGGAACTACCTAAACGGCCATCTACTCCCGCAGCGTTGTGCCAACTCGGCTGAAGAACCTTCCACCATGTCCACCAGCTCCTTTCGAAAGATGCGACATCCTGGATAAGGGGTGCCTTGCTACGGCCACGGCCGACCCACCAATCCACCTGTGAGGGCCGACTTGTTTTCTTAAATCCCATATGGATGCCTCCGACGTTGAAGTTGCTGCAAGCCTCCAACTCCACATACAGCTTGATGGTTTTTGTGAATGCCAGGCCAAGATCTTGTGCTGATAGAAGCTCATAGCCTCTCAGAAACCACTCCGGCCACTTTGGATCTGGAAGCGACGGTGTGGGAGTTGAGGTGACGATTGGCTGCAATGCTAAGGCAAGAGATGGTTCGGTAGAAACGGGGGCGGGGGGAACGAGTGGTTGGGCGAGGGAGGGAGATGGCTGACACGGAACGAGAGGAGCAGAGGGCTGAGTAGGGGCAGAGGGAACGAGTGGTTGGGACGCAAGGGAGGGAGATGGCTGACGTGGAACGAGAGAATTCGAAGGACCGATGACCGCGGGATCAATTGGAAGGTCTTCTGTGTCTGGGCGTGCGGGATCCATCGTCGTCTTCCTGGTGCTACGTCTCGCACCCAGAGCCTGAATGGGGCATTCATCTGCACTGTCCTCGTCTTCACCATCGCTGGATGATTCAGATGAGCTCGCCTCTTCAGAGTCCTCCACGCTCTCTGAGTCCGATTCTTCTTCGTCAGACTCATCGCGTCGCTTCTTCTTCCCCTTGGATACTGCTCCCTTCTTGGCTGCCGCTCCCTTCTTGGCTGCCGCTCCCTTCTTGGCTGCCGCTCCCTTTTTGGCTGCTGCCCCCTTCTTGGATGTTACCCTCTTCTTGGCCACTGGCCCCTTGCGATGTTCCTTTCCTCGCTTCCATTTTGCCGTTGCTTTTGTGGCATCAAGGGGATCTGTTGCCGAGTGAGTTGAGACAGTCGATGTGTCGAGAGTGGGTTCATTCTCCTCGGGACTGATATGCGGGGAGTCGAGGGTGGTCATATCGACATCGTTGTTGGTTGGTTGGTTATCTGAATTGGGGGCATCAGGGAGAGCGCGCCGTCTTCGTTCTTCAGGTGCTGCCGACGTAGGTAAATATTATGTATGACAGCCATCTTAAGAACAACCTACAGTAGCATGTGCTCAGAAACTCGATATACGCATCCTTTACCAATGCAAACTTGGCTTTATCGGCGTAAGGCCAAACCTGCGGTGAGGGTGCCTTGTTGACGCCGTGATGAACACTGTGGAGAAGTAAGTATTACTCACAAAGAAGCAACACTATTGAACATTTACCTTATCACATTGATGTTCCCCCCCAACCTTGGCTCTGGGCCGCCCACAAACACTGAAACGTGCATGTTGAGTGCTTGTCCAATCCTTTCCAGCAACGGTCCCAAAAGATTTGCGAGACCATCGAACGCTCTGATGAAACACGTCAGCAATCGTAAGAGCGGAGATTTGTTTTGACATACTCTTGTGCCTCAGCAGGGCTCATCTCTTTATCGCCTTCCCAGGCCTTCTTCGCCGTGTTGTGGGCCTCGATGGCATCATCGGCCCACTGCTTCTGTTCTTCTCACCCATGGCTGTAAGACTATGCCTTATATATTGGACTAATCCACCCATACCTATTGCGTAGGGGATGGAAATATCCAGGCTCTTTGGGATGTGGACTTGTCCAGGGAGCCTCCACAGTATATTTCAGGGTATTCCTAATTATCCATTGATGTCCTGTATTTGTTTTTTGGCCAATATGTCAATATCTGCAAACAAACCTCTGTTTTAGGCTCAACAACAATATTTCTGCTTCTGTATGTGTTTCTCCCACAAAAAAGCTTCGCAAATCATTCTAAATATATCCTGTGATATATTTACATTTAATAGAACTGGTTCCTCATGCGTCCGTATGTCAGAAATAGATGGATTGGGTCAACCGACTTCGGATGACCTTCAGGGATTGATGCTCTTGCACAACAAATGTAAACAACTCGATGTGTTCAACACTGTTGGTACACAGGTGTAAACAACATCGAAATATACTTGTAAAAGAGGCTAGCTACTCAACCACACGGCATACAGGGAAATGAAAGCCATGAAAAAGATTTATTGAGAGATGTGCTAATATACATACTGAAAAGATAGGTAAATAAGTGATTGAGGACCTCAAAAACCGCGTCATTCTGCGTCGTGGCCGTCCTGGGTCGTATTCACATCGTCGTCGTCCGTTTTGTCATCTGGTGCGGTCCTGCGTTGTCGTGTTGTCCTGAGCATCATTATGCCATCGTCGTCCTTTCTGTGTCGTTGCTGCATCATCGTTGTCCGGTGACGTCGTCCCGTGTTGTCGTCGTCCTCTCGTTGTGATGTACGTTGTCGTGTTGGTCATCCGTCGTCGTCTTGTGTTGGTCCGATGTGCGACGAACGACGACGTTCAGTTGCCACGTCGCTGTCGGCGACGTGGTACCTGGGTTGTGTGTGAGTATGAGAAGGGGAGAGAGAGGTTGTGTTTAACTCACCCTGGTGATAAACAGTCGTCGTCCATTGTCATTCGAGTGAGAGTGGTGGTGATAGTGGGCACTCGTCGCCATCCATGGGTGGTGGCACTCGTGGACCAGTGTTGTTCACGGATTGTGGTGGTGGTGGTGGGCGGTCAGCGTCGTTGGTGGAGGGTGGTGATGGTGGATTGTCTCATTGTCCCTCGTTGTGGGAGTCCTGGCATCATGGGCGTCGTCGTCATGAAAGCCTAGGCATCGTTGCGCCGTCGTTGTCGTCCAGTTTCCGTGTTGTCGTTGTCCGGTGACGTCGTCCCGTGTCGTCGGCGAGTCGTCGTCGTCGACCGTCGTTGCGTTGTCCATCATCTTATTGGTCGTCCGTCGTCGTCTTGTGTTGGTCCGATGACGACCAACCACTAGTGCCTACCACTTTTATGATAAAACCTGGGCATTTGCCTGCACAGTCTTTTCAATCCCCCCAAGTGAAATATGAAATGAAATGCCTAGGCTATTTCATTCTTGCTTTGCAGCTATTTCATTCCTACCCACCACATTTTTCATTTCTCCTTGGCAATGAAATGCATTTCATTCTTTTGCCTGTGCTTTTTCATAACTTTTTCATTCTTTGCCAACTTTATTTCTTTTCTTTTCATTCTTTGCCAGTATCATTTCATTCTTTTGCCTGCACTTTATCATAAAAGTGGTAGGTACCACTCGACCAACACCGGATTGGTCGTTGGTCTGATGACGACCAACATCGGATCGGTCCGTAGTTTTAGTTACCACGTCGCTGTTGTTGGGTGATGGGTAGAGTGGAGAGTAATCTAGAGGACTTCTGCTATGAAGTGAGCTGAGCAAGTTCGTGTATAGTCTAGCCAGTTGACGGGGTACTCACATTGTAGGAGTGAAGACAACATGGGTCGTAGTAGTTGTCAACAGCCGTTGTCGAGGGAGGGCGGTCGCTATGTGGTCCTGGCATCACGGCAGTCGTCGATTTGAACGTCGTTGACGACGTGGCACGCCCATTGGCGTACCACGTCAACCAGTTGGTGGTGGCGCCGTAGGTATGATAAACCTATTAGATACAACAGCTCCCTGAAACTCACCAAAATTTCGCATCTAGCGAACATCCCAAGAACATCCCCAGACCTTTCCCTTTGGACTCCCAGATGTCAAGATTGGTGGTGGTCGTCGAGTTTCGCTTGAGCGTGGTTGATGGGCGTTGAGAGGCAGTCGTTCAATAGACGACGACTCAAGCGCGACCTTGGACTTCGGGAGAGTGTTTGATTGATAACAGACCGACGACGAAGGGCGAGTCGACAAGTGGAAGGCATGAGGGGAGTGCTGGGGAGTGGCAGAAACATTGACGTGGCTGGTTGAGCAGCCATCAACAGCGCTCGGAAAGTGCCGATCGCTGAAGGAGCGCTGCGCGCACTCGGACGCACACTCGGTATTGAGGGGGGAAAAATATGAAAAAATGTATTCAAGGCTTCTAAGGAATAGAACTAGCATTTGAGATAGGTAGCACTATGTATTTAGTGGGCAGGGAGTAAAAGTCACAAGAATTTCATTCTACACCTGAGATTCCGGCACTTTCAGTTACTTTACTGTGACCCTCTACACACCTATCCCTTTACTTGTATCTCCACAACCCTCTCATTTCCATGAAACTTTGTGAGTCCATTCAGTTTTTCATTCTGAATATTTCTATGTAAATTTTATGACCATTGGATAGTGTCAGTGGACACAATATAGTTAAAGTCACAAGAAATCTATTCTATTCAATGACTTTCACAACCAATCCTTCATTATCAAAGTGAATACAGTACTCACAAATTTTATATAAACATCCACCTTTAGCTAGGAAGAGGTACATCTGATTCCCTCAAAATTGGGCAAGCAGAGCAAGATTTCCCATCACAATTCTATGTTTTGTAACTCTCCTAAAAATTAAAAAAGATGGAACAAGACTTTCAGGTGTGTTATTTCACTCAAAATTTAAAACTGCCTGTCCTAATACACCTTTAGTTATGCACTGAATGCTGGTATGCTATAGCTGGCATGTATAAGCTTACAATTTGCTGGAATGATATGTTTTTGACATTCAAAGACAGAGATACTCCTTTCTACTTAACTTTTAGCCAAATTATGATAAGAGAGCAAGTCCAATGTTGTAAATTAAACATGCTGCTGTGTATTACTAATGTCAGTGTAGTGTTCCCTCCCTCTCCTGGCCCAATTTCAGTTGTTTTTCCGATGTTTTCATGGTGTTTCAGAAGTTTGCATCTGTTTGTCTATAGCTTCAAACACATCATCCAAGTTCACCACGTCGCATCCATCCACTTCCGGGAGTGCCATGAATGTGAAAGTTAGAAATTGGATTATGTTCTACCTGTAGAGTACTAAAATGTCTATGTTTTATAAAATGCAAGTGCAAAGGATGGATACCCTGCATTTTGAGCCTCTGAGCACATGGAGGCAACTATTTGTATCTATGTGGCAACGCCTTTGGCAGCGTCATCCAGCTGGAACCTGAGCCATCCATCTAAAAAGCTGTGGGATTGCTGCACAAAATACATACTATATGAGACAAACCAATTGCAACTGAGGAAATATGAACTTAAGAGCATCAATGACTTGAATGACACCCTCCAAAGCGTACTTTTGTGATTTTCCCCTCAGAAACTACCTTTGTTGACAGTTGTTTGTTACCTAGAAGCCCAGAAGAACAAAAGGTCATCCGAAACATGACTTGTGCATCCATCATCTCCACATCTCTGATCAAGGCGGAAATTTTTGGAAAAAAATCAGAAATATATCTCTGCATTACTTGGTAGCTCTGAGTAGCTGTAACACAAGATTTGAAGGAGAAAAATGAGAATTATCACAACTGGAATATTCTGGTGAAATGCAGCTTTTTCAGAAGGATTTTGACATGGAAAAAACATATGTGGATGCTCTTCTGGAAAGGAAAACATACACAGAATACAGGAAAACATACCAGTCATCAATACTGATCCAGGATGTTTCATTTCTGACAATTTTAAATCATGAAACATAACTGAGCTATATTTAGGTTTGCAAATATTCTGGATCTCAAAAAAAAACCATATGTGGATGCTCTTTAGGCAAACAAAACATACACAGCAATAAGGAAAACATACCAGTCATCAATGCTGATCCTGGATGTACCAATTTTGAGAATATTCAACTATCAAACATATCTGAGCTATATTTAGATTTGCAATGAATCACAACATTCTGGAAAATATCTCTGGATGCTCTTTGGGAAAACAAAATATATAGGAAAACATACCAGTCATCAATACTGATCCAGGATGTACCATTTCTGAGAATTTTAAATCATAAAATACATCTGAGCTATATTTAGATCTGGAATAAATCACAAACATTCAGAAAGCCACTGAGGCTAAAAATAGATGCTGTAGAACTATATTCTTTCAGAAAACCTATTCTAGGGGTATATTTTATTATAGGTGGAAATTTTTAGAAACATTTTCGGAATTGAAACGGGTGCTGGAAACTTTTGCTTTTTGGCAAGTGGACATATCCATGCTCTATGCAATAGAAAAAAGTGGGCAGGTCCAGCACAATTTGGTCAATTCTTACAGCTAGGGCTGTTCTTCTTCACTCAGTTTGAGAAATTCCTTCTTCTTGAACGAGTTCCGAAAAGTCGCGTGGTGTTTTTCAGGTTTGCCGCTCTCTCTAAACGCCTCTTCGAAGGGTTCCCTGAGGGACTCGTAGTTGGCCGTGCCCCACATTTCCCAGCCAGTGCGGAGCTTGGCTGGGCCTGCATAACCCAGGAGGCGGTTGACTAAAATAGACAAGGGGTCTTCGGTACTCTTCGACCGCTTCAAGGTCTTCGTCTTTTTAGAGCGATGGTTGAACCAATTGTACAATGACTTTGAAACAGATTAGCAACGAGAAACGAGCATCTCGAGGTACGTAAGGGCGACTAACCTTTCTCATACGCTCGATCACCTTCCCTTTCAAGGTTGCTTGCTTCTCGGTCAATATCTCGAAACCGTCGGCGCCGGTAGGGAAAGGCGGTGATGTCGGCAACTCTTCCTGCGTGACTGGGATCGACCAGTGATACGTTGAAAACCATAGATTAACGATGCCGTCGAGGAAGGAGGTGGCCTTTTCGTGAGAGACGAGTAGCGCAGTCTTGTATTCTTCAAGATGGGATTTCAAGAATTTTTGGTGGGAACGTTTCGCCCACCCTTTTTTCAGCGGGGTGAGAAGTGTGGCCCTGGATCAACGTGTCAAACTTTGAAATAAAACAAGAACAAGCTTAGTCTCTTACTCATTTTCGACGACGTCAACATCGACTTCATCCTGGACAACATTGGCCGCACCCTGTGCGACGTCGGCCATGTTAGCAGTCGATTTTTGAGAGAGGGACATTCCCCATCCCATGCCACCTACCTTCATTCTTTATCCGCCAGAAGAAACGACCAAAAAAAAAATTCATCCTTTTTCGGGCACCAATCGAACATGTTTGCGCTCATTGATGTGAGGGAGGAGGCCTTCGTTGGCATCATGTACGTACATTTGGCCACGTATCCGCCGGATCACGCTCAATAGACTTTCTCTTTTGTCCTTTTTTGTGAGCTAAGAAGCACCGTTGCGCTGCCAGATAAAACCCCACTTTTGAACCGCGTCTATTCCTCTCAACCACCCCCACCATCTGTCCAAACCACTTCCTCTCGTCTCAATAATATGCCCGCATGCTTGACTGGATTCGGTTCACCCCGGGCCCCATTGACATTGGCTGATGACCGTAAGACTAGTCCCATCTCATTGTCCCCCCCCTGTCTAACGCAAACCTTTGAACAGCCCAGGGTGCACCTTCCATGACAGGTGCTTTTTCCTTTTTCACCTGTTAATTACTCACTCCGATACTTACGTTTTTAACAGTTCTTGAAGATTTATTCAACAACCTCGGCATTCACGATCGTGAAAGCCGCGTTCTCATCACCAGCGTCATTCGGCTTGTCACTCCTGCACACCATGACAGCCCCAACAACAGTCAAGCAACCACTGTCGAAGACGGCTTCGAAGTCCTCTCCTCCCCCGGTCCTCACGCGGAGGTTGACGACGGTGATGATAACGACGGTGACGCATCTGAGATGGTGACCCCACAGGTCACCAACTCTCCTGCAGCCGCGGTTATTCCTCCTTCCGCTGTAACCGCTTCCATTGCAGTAACCGCTCCCGTTGCAGCAGCCCCCAATGCCATCAGCCCAGCCGCTAATGTTATCAGCCTTCCCACGCTCTACACCCCAGGCTATGCTTTACCTCCCAACAGGCCTGACAAGGCTATTATTCCACCAGGCAATCTCATCACAGCCATATACGGGTACCATATCCCTCCCCCCAATGCTGGTGGCCCCTTCTTTTGTGTGAGTCGTGGTCGGGACATTGGTATTTTTTGTGGCTGGTGAGCTCTCTCCCCTTCGGAAATTAGTTTTCGAGATCTTAATATTTTTTTACCAGGGAAGTCACTTCACCTCTCGTGATCGGTGTGTCCTGTAGTAGTTTTTCTCGCGTAGCTAGTGTCGTGGAAGGGCATCGTCGCATGGCGGCTGCTCTCACCGCCAACTTTGCATTATACCTTACTTGATTCCCAAACCGTCGCTCTGCCAAGTACTGGTTTCCTATCTGAATGTTGTGTAAATAGTGTCCCGCCCCAAATTTTATATGCTGCTTGTCCCCATCCTTAAAACGTGAGGTCTGAAAGAAGAGGACTTCGTCAGTAAGCGAGCACTTCGTCAGTAAGCGATGCGATGCATTTTGAACAAAATGCCCGTTTTGGATTCTCTCCGTGCGACCATTAAACATTGCCTGTAGAAGCCAATACGGCTTGGAACACTTAGAATTTTGATACGTATGCGCCTTAGGCACTACTTAACATAGATATCCAATTATGTCACTGATTCAAGTTGTCTATGGGTAAATGTCAGAAGAGGGCAGAGATGAGCTCGAAGACTCCAAGCCTTCAATACGCACTTTTCAGGCGCACCTCCACTTAAGTCACTCATGGCCAACCAATTTTTGGTCAATTTTTTAGAAAAATATACCGATGGAAAGAGGTCATTTCCGCGGTTGTGAACCTCTAATCAGAATAGGAACAGTACTTGAAATGCTGAGGTACCAGATAAAAAGTCGCAAGGAGGTTCCAAATGTAAGTTGCCTATTTTGGAAACTGCTTTTGATCCTTCTTCCTCTCGTCCGCCAACGTTCGCTATGGGTCGCCCTCGCCTCTACAATACACTGGAGGAAAAGCTCCAAGCTCGTCACGTCCAATCTAAAAACTACTATGAGCGGTATGTCCCTTGACCTTTTCCTTTCGTGATTTGTCTCTCACCGTCATTAGATCAACAATCAGTAACCGCGCTCAGATATGCCGCCAGATGCGTCGTAAATACAAAAGGAAGGCTAGAAGAGAAACAGAAGTCAAGGAGCAAGAAAGTACTGAGTCCGATGGGGTCAGGTACAAGGACCAGGAAAGTACTGGGTCCGACGACGTCATGTATGATGAAATCTCCAGATCCTGCATGATCGATCTGAACTTGGAAAGCAGACTCAACGATCCCATCAAGACCCTTAGCCAAGCCAAGATCGCATTTGATGAAAAGACTCAGGGTGACAAGTACAAGTACATAGACGACATCGTGAAGGAATGCATCGCGAGTCCCAGTTCAGCGTTGGAGTTCTGCAAGGCGACAGCAAGCATGTGGGTCGATCTGGTGGATTACATTCAGTCATGTCTAGGGAAAGTTCTACAAGAATATGGTTGTGGAAGTGAGTATAACGACGCTGATCGGGTGGGGGCGGACTTCCGGCATGTCATGTTTTTGTTGGAGGAAATCGAGGAGTTTTTGATGACAAGGGAGGGCGAGCTGGCTGACTGGCACGCGAGTGGTTGTTTAGGCTATCAAATTTGTTGGGAAGGAGAGAAATTGGAAGCGGTCTCGACATGACGCTTATTCACTCCCTGCGGCGAAGTCTTGTAATCTGTTCGCGCAATAATCCACACTTTTTGGCATTTGTGGCAACTGTACAGTCCTTTCCATTAAAGTTATTCCTCACGCGGTATCACTACACAAACTTCAACTACCTTCCACACCTTAATCCAATGGGCAAACACAGGATTGGCCCCAAAAAGATACAGCCTGTCACTTTCAAGGACGATACAGCGTACAAGCAAAGGCAAAAGGCCTTGGCGCGGGTGATTGATTTCCCTACACTGCCATGTGGGCGGACTCTGATCGTTGATTGTATTAGAAACCCGAGCCTGCCGCCGAAATTGCAAGGGACTTGAAGAAAACTCAGGATGACGTCCTGAAAGCGCTTCTTCCCAGCTATTTCTTAGTGCGTGCTGCGGGACAGAGTGACAAATTTTTTGAAAGGGCCAATCTCGTATGGTGCCTCAGATTTCCGGAGCCTGAGGAGGAGATAAGAGTGAATAAGGATTACATGGACACCGATTACGGGGCTTACATTTTGAAATTGCGGCAAAAGGTTAGTCCTTGGTTTGTATGTGACGGCTTCTGATATTTAGATCTGTCGTAGCTTGTCCGTAGCAAAGTCGGCTGGATGTCGTTCCTCTTCCCAGAGCGGGCTGATGCTGAGTCGCCTCCGAAACATAGTTGGAATGCCGAGTTAAATTCTGCGATCCAAAAAATTATGAACGGCCTTCCGACCCCGATGATCGGCCTCGAAGACATTGAGAAAGCAATAGCGGGACCGAGCTTGGGAGAGACCACGCAGGAGGATACCTCGAGCGAGGGAGACTTCGACTTCAATTTCCTGTAGTTAGCTTGGTCGAGTAGTTGCACGTTCTTCAGTTGTCCTGCTGTATGTACATACCACTGTTGTTGATGTTATTGATGTTGGCGTGTGAGCACATGTGACGACTTGGTGACGACCCTTGTTTTCCCATCAACATGGCCAAGGGCCGTTACAAAAGAAAGAGCAAGTTCGTTGTTGTTCGCGATGACAAGCACGACGACAAGCTTCACATTGGTCACTCCCGCACTGTCCAAATCTCTGATAACGGCTTTCGTATCCTCCAAACACCTCGTTCCCCTGTGAAAGTCTCCTCTGCTCAGAGTCGGCCCCTCGTAGAACAGGAATTCGACGACTGGAACCCTTGCATCGAGTATGAAGATTTCGGGGAGGAGTCACCCCTAATAAATGTCGAAGAAAATGTTCAAGGCACCGTGGCTGCAAAAGTTGCAGCAAAACGGTACCCCACTTCGGTAAGTGGCTCGAAACCTGAGAACTGATTGTGTTTTGACAAACACGGGCTTTCAGGATGCTCCGTTGCATGAGTGGGCTGGAAAGGATCGGTGTGATCCAGGCTATAGGGAGGAATATCTGCTTGAATTGCTTAGGCTTGAAGGGCGGGGGGGGGAACACTTCCATGGGTGCATGTCGTGCTCCTCCCCGGCTGGAATCTACCGCTGTGAGGATTGTCTGGGACCATTGGCGGAGTGCTTGAACTGCACGCTCAAGCGCCATCGACAGTTACCTCTCCACATCATCAAGGTTGGTTGATCATGAGACCTTCATTCACTTTTAGTTGACTGATCAATTGTTTTAGAAATGGGACGGAGCGTGTTTCGACAAAGTATCGCTGAAAGACTTGGGCCTCAGAGTTCAGCTCGGCCACCCTGCCAGTTCTCGATGTGTCGCGCCGCAACCTGGACACAAGGACTTTATGGTCCTTCACACAAATGGGTTGCACTACGTTGCCGTGGATTTCTGTGGATGCGACAACAGGATAAGCAATCGGCAGCAGCTCCTCTGAAGCGAGTGGTTCCCTGCAACCGTTCACCAACCTCAGACTTGTGCAACTTTTCGTCTACTCGAAACATTCCACGTCATCACTTTGGCAGGCAAGTTATCCGCTCACGAGTACTACAAGGCCATGGAGTACCTGACTGACAATACAGAGTTGAACGTTCCAAAGGTAAGCGTTGTCGTTTCTGACCATTCGCCATCGCTCATATTTCCCTTTTTTTCCTAAGACACATTATAAGTCGTTCATGTGAATGATTCGCATGTTTCGACATCTTAAATTGATGAAACGTGCAGGACGAGGCAACATTCAAGGAGGTCTCGTCGCCACTGGGGCCGGAGACCTTGCCCCTGACTGTCCCGCATGTCCAGTCCCAGGTGTCAACCTGCCGGCCAACTGGAAGGATGTTGACTCGAAGTGGAAGTGAGTAGAGTGATAAATCCGTATGTGATTGTTGCCTGACCACAGTTCTCCTTGTAGATTCCTTTACCTTCTGATCATAGCGATGGATGCCAACTTTCGACTTAAGAACCTGATGTGATCATCCATCGCTAAGGACCCTGGCCTACACACGGGGATGGCCTATTTTCCCGATGACAAGCCATACCGTGAACATGTTCTCAAATACGCCACCCAGAAAGATGTAAGTGGCTCTCATTATCAACTTTTATCACAAAACCGACGTCTTCGTAGATAAGCAACTGTAGTGGTTTCAAAACGTTGGCTCACGCTGAGACCAAGTTCTCCACCGGGTTGTGTTCCACGGGCGTCGGAATGGCTCTTTGTGCCCGCCATGAGATCGTTCGTGGAGGGGGGGTTGCAGACCTACAGAAAGGAGAAAGGTTTGTCTCGTTTAAATCACTATCAGTACCGGTGGCTGACGCCTCGGACAGGTATTGCAACATGGATTATATCCTGCTCTCGGCCCTCGCTCCACTCCTCATCACATCCGTTTTCGTATCATATGATATCGCCTGTCAGTTCAAGTTAAAATTTGATGAAAGGGTCGACAAGCTGCCACCTGAAATCCAGCTCCCTCCCAACGTCGAGTTTGAGTGGGGGATACCCAAGTGCCACTGCCCTATGCACAAGGTGTCGTGTCAAGCACTGCACTCATTAAACTTCAAGAATGGTGTGGGACGGACCGACGGTGAAGGTATTGAGTGCAGCTGGTCGGAACTGAACCGTGTCACGAATAGCACGAAAGAAATGGGCCCAGGTTCTCGTCACGACACCCTTGACGACCATATCGGTCATCATAACTTTCGAAAATACGTTGGACTCGGTAAGTTTACTGTCGTCCTCTCTACTTAGACTGACGAACATTTTTTTCAAGGCCGATCTTTACATTCACGTTTGGTCCTTGCCACACCTGAGGAAAAATGGCAACAAAAGATATTTGAAGACTTTTCGGCTTCCCTCACGCCTGAGGTTGAGAAGCAATGGACTGACATCATTCTCCGGTGGGAAAATGATCCGAAGCAGAAGAATCCTTATGTATCCATCGTTACCTGTACGTACCCAATTATCTTCCTTATCACTGCATTTACAAATGTTCATTTTAGACGCATCTCAAGACGAAGTGAAAAAACAACTCCTCAAGGAAGAAGCGATCGCCCTGAAGGCGGGAGTACCTCAGTTACACGACACCAGTCGGACGGGGTTCATAACGCTAGGATTACTGGTTGAGGAGAATCAGTAGGTGTTCTCCCCTTGTTGATTTACGATGACTAACAACTTCAAAATAGGCGGTGCATTTGCTGGGACGCGAGGAAGCCAAATCAGCTAACAACAAATCAGGACAACGAAATCCAGCACCGCCGACTTCTACTCCTACGGCAACTGAAGCACTTCCGGAATCTTCAAGTGATTTATATGCCCATGGTGACATCGGTGCAAGCACAGAACGAGGAGTCCTGGCTCGAGCAACAGTCGACGAATCAGTCATCCCAAATCGGCGACTCGCTCACCGATGTCGAGCACCAAGTTCTATGGCTGCCCTCAACCCTGCCCGAGAATCATCGTAAGCACAGTTGCGACGCGACGCTTATCGACATTGAGATCAGGCTGCGGCGGGCACAGTGCGAAGATACGCTTGACAAAATCCGCAGCCTTCAACGTGGTCGCCTGTCCTTCATCAGCTTCCGTAACCGCAACATCTGTAATCAGAACCCCAACACCAGAGCTCAAGACACAATCAGCTGCTTGGAGGACAAGTCAAAGGCTCTCGCAGTGAAGTACAGAGCGGCACGCAAAGCGCTTTTGGCCCTGCTGGGTCCGGGTGATTGGGAGACCCACCTTCAAGAACTCAAGGACGGCGATCTAACAACGCCAGACGGGCACGAGATTAGCATAGAAGATCCAGACAACCCGTTCGGACCTGATGGACGCAAGTTGTCAAAAAGAAAGCGGGCGGACATCAAGAAAGGATTGGGACAAGGGAAAAAAATTGTATCGTGGATATGGACAACCCCACAGGGAGTCGGGGATGAAAGTGATGAGGTTCTACATGAAGGTTTGTCTCTTATTATTCTTTTCAACATGTAAGTACTTAACTCCCGACGTTGCCGCAGCTGTTCGTGTTGAGTGGGCAAAAGCACGCGCAAGGCACCTGAGGTGGTGGGAAGAAGCTCACTTGTTGAGGGAGGAAATGCGACGCGTCCAAAAGACATTGGAATGGAGAGCCGCCTGGTGGGAGGATCTACGGAAAGGGTGGGAAGGGCTGGACGAGGCGATGATGGAGGGGGTGAATGCATATGCGAGCCATCAAGCTAATATGCAGCATATGCTGCGCACTCGATTCAGTCGGTTGTGGGACAAGCCAATGGTGCTGATCGTTAGGCAGGAAGATAGCGGAGAGGGTCCGTATGCTTCCGTTGATCCCATACTCGAGGAGCTGGTGGAGGACGATGATGAGTAGGTACATTTTGGTAGCATTGGGGACCGGGAATCTCGGAGCGCTAATATTAGTAATCTTGTTTGTACGTATTGGTCAATCCCTTTCCGCATCAGTGAAAGCGTCATCCAAACCATCTGGAACCAATCCATCAATTTTGACACAAGTCAGGCTGCGGAAAACATTTGAGGAGGTGTAAATATAATCTAGCATATATTTGGAGGGTTTTGCGGTCTTTTTTTCCAAGAGAAACAGACTGTAGAAAGAAAAAACATCACCAGATGCTCAAATATGCCTTTGTTTACAATTGTTAGCATCAAAGGCTGGAATGACAGATATGAAGGCGGAATAAATGAAAATATCAAGACTTATATACCTCCTACATCTCCAGTATATTGTTTCCCATCAGACATACCCCTCTGAAGTCATTGCTACAGAGGTGAGTGGATTAATCCACAGAGGGAAAGGCTTGGAAAAATCCACCACCTATGGAAAACAGTTAGGTGGATTATTCCAGTTTATATGGCATAGGCCTACAGCCATGGGTGCATCAGCAGACAACAACAATGACACACAACGACGGCAGCAGACAATGACAACACACGACAACATTGTGAGGGGGTATAGTGCATGGAGAGCGAGGTGGAGGTAGTGTTTGGAAGTCCAGTCTCGTGACTGGAAAAAGACCGTAACCAGACCGGACCAAGACCGCAAAAGACCGGACCTGTGGTTACGGTCTTTTATTTTTGAGATGTAAAGACCGCAAAAAAACCGGTTAACGTGAACAGGTCTTGACTGGTTTGGACCGGTCTTTTGTAGCCCCTTAAATACCCTTTAAAACGCACCCAAGAACGTACGATTTGGTAAAAAAACGAGAGAGATATGAATTAAAATGTAAATTACTTTTGGGAATAATAGATGTACCAGACTTATTTTATAGAAGCACCAATTCCTAACGGAATTTGACGTTCTTGGGCTCGTTTTGAAGCTAATAATAGAGATGTTAATAAATTTACCCATTCATAATTTTAAAATATTAGCCTAAAGACCAGTCATAAACCGGTTAAAACCAATGCAGACCAAAACCAGTCTATAGACTGCAAAAAGACCACAGACTGCGGTTTTTTGCGGTCCGGTCTGGTCTTTTGACTTCTGGGGAAAAGGCAGACCGGTTACGGTTACGGTTAATGCCCCTGGGCATCAAAAAACCGGACCGAATTGGACTTTCAAACACTAGGTGGAGGTGCTGTGCACAACAGCAAGTGATGGACGCGGATGGCACCAACCGCTGGAAGAGAGCAGGCGCAAGGGAGATGTTAAATTGGGCATACTTCCGTCAGGTTGTTCAGAGCTGATGTATATTTTCAATGTATACTACCAGATCATGTCTAAGATCCTTTTTACTGCTTTTTTCTTTCCCTGTATGTTGTGTGGTAGAGTAGCTACCATTTTTTCAAGTTGAGTTCAGTTGTTTACATTTGTGTACCAACAGTGTCCATGGTCCCAAAGTCATCCAAAAATGGTTTGTCGCATCCAGTTATTTTGGTCAGATTTGGTGAATGGAAACTATCTAGGACTGTCAGAACATTATCAAAAATATATCTGGTAAAGTTTTAGTGGTTCTTTCTAGGAAAAACAGCATTGTAAAGCATAAATATCTCTCCAGAGCTCAAACTGTGCATTGTTGACAATTGTGTACCAATGGCATCAAAAGGCCCAAGGTCATCCAAAATTGATTTGTCACATCCAGCCATTCCAGTCAGAAAGAAGTGGGGGAATAGGTCTTGGCCCATTTGATTATATCAGTAGATTTGTTTTCTGATGTTGTGTGACATTTTCATCAGAGGAACTTTGTGTTTTGCCTACTTTTATATATTTGAAGGGAAATAAGAGACTATTGATATATGTTTACCAAAAGCCTGCCCCAACAAATCCTGGGCCAAAGCCATGTGCCAATGCATGCTGCAGACCCCTGGCTTGAATGCATGGTTAATGGCAAAGCATTAAGCACAACAATGTGGGTGAGTAGGGCAATGACTACAGCCAGGGGTGTCGGAGTCCACCATGTGGACAGTGGTATAGGGGTTTTGGCTGTCCACCTTGACCTCAATGTCTTGCAGTTTAAGGGAGGGTTTTTGAAGTAACCAAGAGACTTCTGCCACGGTCGACAGATTGTTCCCTTGTTCCGTGTTGTACTCAAGAATGAGGCTGTACATTGGTGACAGCGAAAAGCCTCTATCCATGCCTAGACGATTCACAGGAATTGGTTCTGAGTTTGTCGCGCTGAGGTCTGGTGAACCAGTGGCGATTGGGGAAGCAGGTTGAGACATGTTGTTGGGATTAGGTATGGGTGTTGAAGGCATGTTTACAACTGCTTTGCTCTTGTCTGAACGTAGAGGGGCCTTCGGTTTCAAGGGGAATTGGTGGGGTGGAAGATCTCATACAATTGGAGCGACTCTAATACTCACAGGGATCTGAGAAGTTGACTTGGTTGTAGAGACGCCTTTCCTCCAATTGGTATCTGATGTAGGGGCTTCAGGGTCCAAAGTCTTGCTGCCACTTGGGCGGGTCAACATCGGAATGGGGAGCCTTGAAGTCCCAAGAGGGCCAGAAAAAGCTGGTCTGCCCCCTCTGGAGATCAAGGGGGTATTTTTGGAGTGATGGTAGTTGGACAGATTGACGAGGGGGAGTGAAAGATCGAAAGGTTGAAGGTTATAGGATTGTTTGAGAGTTGTTAAGGTGACTCCATCCGAAGAGTGTAAGTGGATATGATTTCAATGGATTGAAGGAGAAGCGATATTGGCCAGATATGCGACTGTTCCCACAGTGTCCACCTTTGCGGAACACTAATCAGCGTCGGTGTCCTTCAGGTAGTGGGACAGCCATAGGGAGTCTGACGAATATGCGGATAAAGGTGTGATGACCCCATAGTGGTCGTAAGCAGTAGTTAGATGCTCGGGATCGTAGAATGTGACAGTTCACGGTACTTGTATCCCAATCTCCACAGACAGTTCCGATGGAGATTGCTCTAGCTGCGCTTTCGAGTATTCTCTAGTCCCATGTCCTCTGAGAGTTCAACTAGCTGTTAGTAGGACTATATATCAAACGATACAGAGATTGTGGTGGTAGAAAAGATATATTCGCCTCATGTAGGACATGAGGTATAAGTACAATGCTTATGTAATGAAATGTAGTAATGTATTTAGTAAATGAAAATGCAAAGGCGGGACGTGAGTTGAATCTCAGGGAGTGGGAAGAATACTAATGTAAAGGCAGTGAAGGCTTACTGGACTGACATGTTACAAATCCCTCTCATGTAGGCAACGTAATGAGATCTCATATATTCTTGTTGTTCCTGTGAGCACATAGTGAACCACATGCGTACTGTAGAGTCTTCCTTCAGATTCATCCACAGCCAATAACCCAATGCTTGAGGCAAATAACCTTTCATGGCTGCCAGTTGCTGAATCTTCCAAAAGTAATCAATAGTGGTGTTGTGATTTCCGTCCCACATCGGCAATTGCTCCAGCTTTATGTCTGTTTTCACAGTAGGGATGTAATTGCCGTATGGTGCAGGAGGATGGTTTTCATCCCATTCGGATCGACTAGAATCACAGCTCCTGGTCCTAGAAGAGCTTGAGGAAGATGAGGGGGGACTAGGCGGACCTCCTCCTCTACCACGCCTGCTACCATATCCGCACTGGGCCATTCTGCATTCATTATTCCTTGGAGGGTCATGTCCTCCTGAATTACTGGGAGGGTCATCGTCAGGAGGATCTGAACCCCCTCCTCCTGATGGATGATGAGGATTCCCTCAATTAGAGTCACATTTGTTCGTGTTTTGCATTGTATTTTGGTTTTGCGGATCCGCTGCGCATTACTAACGTTCTCAGTTGCTATGTGCGAAGTGGAGGCTTGTGTCCTTGCGTGAGAGAACCCTGTCTCCTGCACATTGATCGTCTCTGCTGACTTTTGTGAAGGCATAGAGTGAAAAGACATTGCGCCTGATGCCATGCTCCAAGGAGTAGAAGTGATTGGCCTAGTCGTCGGATTCGATGGTGTAGCGTTCATATGTGAGGGGTAAAAAAATCCAGAAAATTGTCCTCTGTCTGGCGAAAATGATGGAACTTCGTCAGTTCCATAGAGGAAATTACCCACAGAAACATGTCGGTTGGGTCCTGATGAGGGAAAAGGACCAGGATTGCTTTCTTCATCTTGTGAGAATAAGCCCTTCAAAGATTTGAATGGAGTGCTGCTGCTCATCAGTGCTGAAGATTGCGACGGTTCCCAGGCCTCAACTTGAGGAGTGAATTGGACTGCCTTAGAACCCTTCCAGGTAGTCAAAGCTTGTTTCCTCTGAGTCAGCTCTGGGGGTTTGACCTTGTCAGGTAATGTGAAAGAGGAAGCAGCTTTGTAACTTGTCCTGGCTGGAATGTTCAAGATGGGAGAAGAGGTCTTTTGTGCTGGGGTGGCTAGCCAAGGAGGGGCTGGGATGATTTTTCCCCACTTCTCGTTAGCTTCCAATAATCGTTGACGTGCATCAAGTGAAAGCTTATCCACATGACGAGGAATGGTTCCCTGCATATTCCATAGTTTGTCATCAACATCTGGCAATCCCGAAATGTACTTATGGATATCGGGATTCATCGACACAGGTGAGGGTGGTATAGTAGCATTCTGGTATTCTTGTTGGTATTTCAACATGAACTTCTGAGCTGCTTCCAACCTACTAGCCAGGCAGAGCCATGCTGCATGCAATTGACTGGTAGTTTCCGCTCCTCCCAATACTTTCAACAGAGTGTCTTCGGGGTCTACTTGGAAGTACTTAGTTCTCTCCTCTATTAGACTGGCCATGTGTTGGATAAAGACTTGGAGCTTGTTTGCCGTATGGGTGATCTGTTCAAGTAGTGGCTTATCTACCATATAATGTTGCATCGACGTTCCCATTCCCCTATCTACAACTTTGTCTTGAGCCAGGGAAGGTTTGGTAGCATAGAACACGACCCTAGATTGGGTCGATTTCGAACTCTCTTCTTCTTCGCAGTATTCAAGCGATAAATTATACATGGGGGAAAGAGAATACCTGTTTTCCATCCCTCGACAAGCAAAAGGTGAAGGAGGACTGGTAGCTACCATTTACATCATGAAAACGTGGCAGTTACTGCAGGCCATCTTGATCAGCTACCACATTGGAATGAAACAGTTTTTCATTCCTGTTTCATTCCTGTCCATAGCGACGAACTAGAACTACTTGCAACAAACTGGAATTTCTTTCATTTTGGCTTCATTCATGTCATTGAGCTGCCTCATTTTTGTTTCATTCATTTTGGTGCATGTGTTTCATTCCATTGTGAGATGGGAGGTGATTATGTAATTGATGGGAACAAAATGTAAGTGCCCTATTTGGCAACACCACTGCTAGCTCTTTGCATATATCTGCCTCAAATCCAAAAATACCCCCATATGGCCCCCCAATCCACTGCAGAAGGGCACAACCCATATCAGGCATCATTTGTATATTATTTCCTTATTTGTACATGTACTACATCATTGAAATAACTGTCCAGAAAGAATGAAATAATAATTGAAAATGAATGAAATATTCAATCCTCTGGCAAGAATGAAACAAAGAATGAAATAATTGTCAGGAATGAATGAAGCAGAATCAAACTTATTCTTTCTGGCAGGAATGAAATAGAATGAGGCAAAAGGTGTTTCATTTTCCCTGGAAAAGAATGAAACAAAAAATGAAAGAATCATCGCAAATGAATGAAACACGCCTTTTCTGGAAGAAATGAAATAAGTGCTGTGAATGAAATGAAATCATTTCATTTCATTCACAGTAGCTGATCAAGATGCCTCATGGCAACTGCCACATTTTCATGATGTAAATGGTACCTACTAATGCACAGGATGCCTCATACTTATCTCACAATGCTGTCTCCGAGCAGGAGAAAGACCTGCTCCTTAGTTACTGCCCAGGTACAAATGGTTGCTCCGGAAGATGGCTCTTCCCACCAACAGACATCTTCGAAGACAATTTTGAACTTTGGACAGGCGAATGGAACGCAGCATTGGACCACATCTACAGAAGAATTAGCTGATGACATTGCCAGAGGGAAAGGGAAACTTCGTACAAGGGAGAAGTGGAAGAATTGGATCAGAAACAACGAACGAGGTCAATGACAACCAGAGTACCTACACTAACTGAGCAAAAAGATTGTCCGATCATTTTTTGGACAAAGTTGGTGCTATAACACAAGAATCAAACATTTTGAGAACTAAGTTCTAGTGTATAAAATATAGCTAAGGAGGTGTAGATTGTATATACCAAGTCTGGGGATGAACAATTGAAAACTCAGGATAAGGCAGGGAATTGACTGTGACAAGTGCCAAAAATGGGATGTAACAAAGTGGGAAATTCTGAATGACTGCAACCTACTGAAAGCAATTCACAACTTGAGGAAGAGATATTTTGAACACTGGATCTCCCTGCTATTGTTATGAGTTTCATAAAGTCTCTGGGCTAGAAAATTTTATATCCTCCTCTAAAAGGTAAATTTGAACTTATTCTCCATTTTATGTATTTTTCACTCAATATATTTGTTGGAATGAGGTAAAATGACTCCCTATTGTTGTTTGTAGTGTGTATAATACAAAAGGTAGGTAGAAATGTTAAAATGAACATTGCATGATGTCTGTAGAAGCTAATTCCCAGAGTTTTTCTGGAAGTAAACAAATATCTACAACATTGGTCCTTCTTTTCTGCAAGGAGAAAAAATGCTACCATCCTTTTGAATTCATCCATGGAGACTAAGGATGTCTTTTAAACAATGCCTGAAGTATAGCATGATAGAAAATAAATTTACACTGGGTATAACTTGAAAAGTCCCCAATAAAAGTACATTTTGCATAGAGCAAGAAAGCTGTGGGGTCTCAGATCCTTGTATAAATAGGACCTCTGTTTATTTTTGGTCG